CTCCAATGGCACTTCCTTATGAAAACCACTGGCCTTAACTCCTATCTAACATGCTTACACAAGCCTTCAGTCATATTCCCCTAATTCTGCTGTACCTCTCTTCCAAGAGCGCAAATTCCGTGTCTAAAGCCTATCTTCGTAGGAAAGGTTTATAATGCACGTGATCAAATTAGTCACAATTCTCTGTATACATTCCAGTGCACGATGCTCTTGAAACTGTGTATGAAGTTTGCTGCCACCCTTTCATCCTGCTCGTTCTATATATTTACCACACAGTGACTGACTTATTTCAAGCGGTCTGTTACTGTGTATTTTGAACATAAGAACATAAGAACGAAGGAACACTGCAGAAGGCCCACTGGCCCATGCGAGGCAGGTCCAAGTCTCCTACCGGCTTAAGCCAATGCACCCAACCTAGTCAGGTCAGGTCACATTGACTTAAGGGAGGAACACGGCAACCGACCTGTTAGCACAAGCTATCAGGTCTAACTCACACCCACCCACATCTACTCATGTATTTATCCAACCTATTTTTAAAGCTACACAACGTTCTGGCCTCTATAACGGTACTTGGGAGTTTGTTCCACTCATCCACAACTCTATTACCAAACCAGTACTTTCCTATATCCTTCCTGAATCTGAATTTTTCCAACTTAAAACCATTGCTGCGAGTCCTGTCTAGGCTAGATATTTTCAGCACACTATTTACATCCCCTTTATTTATTCCTGTCTTCCATTTATACACCTCAATCATATCCCCCCTAATTCTACGTCTTTCTAGAGAGTGCAGTTTCAGGGCCCTTAGTCTATCCTCATAGGGAAGGTTTCTGATACATGGGATCATCTTTGTCATCCTCCTTTGTACATTTTCCAGAGTATTTATATCCATTCTGTAATACGGTGACCAAAACTGTGCAGCATAATCTAAATGAGGCCTAACCAAGGATGTATAGAGTTGAAGAACAACCTGAGGACTCCTATTATTTATGCTTCTTGATATGAAGCCAAGGATTCTATTAGCTTTATTGCGAACACTTATGCACTGTTGTCTTGGTTTCAGATTACTGCTAACCAGAACTCCTAAATCTTTTTCGCAATCCGTAATATTAAGATCTACATTATTTAGTTTATATGTGGCATGGTTATTGTCCTGTCCAACATTTAGAACTTTGCATTTGTCTATATTAAACTGCATCTGCCACTTCTCTGACCACTGCATCAGTCTCCTCTGACCCCTCTTTAGAGGTCAGGTTCAGTCTTATGTAGTTTAAACCGGAACCATTCTAGTTGCAAGCCTCAGGACTTTCTCAGGTGTGGACTACATTTTGGTACTGTATATTCTAAAATAGACCTAACATAGGTGTATTTGTATACTTATATAATTATAGGAATAAGATTTATGCTTGTGGTGTCTGTCTTCTGTAAAAGACCACTTGTTCTCTAGTGCTAGCACTAAGAAATCCCTTTGTCTACTTTTTCACATTTTTTTATTAAATAAATTTAACTGTAGTGAGGTTGATCCTTTGTTGAACGGAGAATGGAAAGCTTGGGGCGTTTCCATCTCTGAGCAATTTACCTCGGTCAATTTGCATTATCCCATACCTATAATTACTGCGTCAATGATGCACCTTAAACAGAAGAAAGTATGAATGTTCCTTGATTTGTAACTTCCGCTTTTTGTCACGTTGTCTTCCAAATGTGCTCATTTGGAAGATAACGTGATAGCTTATTCAGATAACCAGCCAGTGTACGAATTGCAAATACAGCGGTTCACCAGCGTTGTGTATCAAGGGAATGTTGAGCGTCGCTGCGGTCTTGATCACCTGTGCTACTAGTTTGAGTCATAAACTTGTGGCAGATTGTGTATGGGTGAGTGTAGGAACCTCATAAAAAAAGAGTTCGTGCGCGTTGAGGGAAGGTAATGTGGTATTCAAAATGACTTCCGCTTCTAAAATATGCACGTGCTGGGAAATGAGTTATGTTGTCAAAACGGAGAAATTGATGTCGAAGCCTATTACTGACATACTCTAGATCCTTTTAGATTATTAGGATCGCCTATAGATTCCTAGTCCCCCCCTCCTCCATCTCTAATGAATACTGTTAACTAAAGTTATGCATTTTGTGTGCCACTATTTAATTTTGCACCAAAACTAACGTAGCAACCTGAGGTTGCCCCCCAAAAAAGTAATTTAAAATATCTTTAAATACATCTAAGAATGTGCATAACTTAAGTTAACGCACAAGAATTTTTGGTTGTTACAAGTTAGGGAGGAATCGACAAAAAACATCTTTCTGCACACAAAAGAGACAGATGGTACCAACTTCCATCAGAGGGTTGGTGCATCTTCCGACCCAAACACATTAATTATCAAAGTTCAGAACTGCTCAGAGAAGCAATATCGCAGCTTATTGGACAAGTACGACGAACTGATATCAGAGATACAACGAGAGGTTTATTGAACTGATAAGGGCACCAATAATACAGCTTATTTAGGGTTAAATTTAACTGCTTAACGATTCGAGTGTTCTTTATTGTTAGTGCACAAGTGAATTGCAACCTTAATGACTACTAACGTGTAGTTGATGGGCTTTAAGCTTACCAAATTAACTGCACAATGTATTTACCCAAAATTTAATTTAATCCTGAACACACTGCTAGGTTAACGACTATAGTATACTTTAAGGTAGATTACTGCTTCGGTGATGCTTACATGTGGAAGATAACACCGCATTACCCACCCCCAGGATTTGTTAGGTTTGAAGAATTCTTTAAGGCCTAAAATATGACTTTAGTTTAACGCTCTGTACATATTATGCACAGATACATGCCTCTTAGTGTATAACATAGTTTATGACCATAGACACGTTGGTGTATGAACTCTTGTCTGTTCATAATTCACAACTAACCCACCAATTTGAGATAAGACATTTCATTCTGCCCAGGACTATTATCGAGTCGCAACTCTACAATGGTCCAGGATGGACCGAAACGTTGTAAGGTTCATTTCCAATGTACGAGTTAGTTGTGAATTGTTCTAGCCACGGTAATGTGACTTTTATTCTGTTCTCCCTCAAGTTGTTGGTATTGTTTAGCAAGTATGTACTTGTGTTGTCAAGCACGAGGACGGTGAGGGAGAGCTACGGACAATGCAAAGCTGATGGGACTCCTGGTGGTTCCCAAGCCGTATCGGTGAAGAGGCAGCCAGGAAGCTCCGCTATTGTCATGCTCGTAAGGTAGAGCTTGCAAGTTTGGATTATAAAACTACGATCGTGTTATCCAGCCCAAGTGTAATTTCATTGTTGCACTAACCTCACGATGACCACGAAATTATTTCGTGATAAATTTAGGAAAACCTTAGGGTGGATAGGATTAACCTACATATTACATACATCATAGCAAGATTAGATGAATAGTTTGTGGGAAAATGAGAAGTTAATTCGCATGAAAATTTTGGCGGGAAAATGAAAGTTAATTAGCATGAATATATCAATCTAAAAGGAAAATAAATCTGACAAAATAGATTTTATCTCATTGGCGTAAACGTATTCCTCGATGATATAAAGGGTGGATTATTATTATTATAATCAAGGGGAAGCGCTAAACCCGGAGGATTATACAGCGCCTGGGGGGGATGTGGAAGGCATTCAGGCTTAATTCGGGGAACTGGAGCACAGATCCAATTTCCTAAATCAAGAGCCCCTCACCAACATCAAGGAACCTTCCTTGAGGGGATAGTTTGTACAAATTGTTTGGCAAACAAGTGGGGCTTTATATGGGCCGGCATTAATAGTCTCAGGCCAGCGTAATAAGGACTATAATTGGTACAAGGATGTTTACACAACAGCTTTGAGTGCGTGGCAACACACTAGGCAGGCGTCTCTGGTGCCTGAATGCAACCCTTCCAAGGTTAGTAATCTTGACTTGAGACTTCTGACGACTGTTGCAGTAACGGTGTCATTATTTTTATATACATGTCGTGCCTAATAGGCAAAACTTGCGATTTTGGCTTAAATAGCAACGCTCTTGCCGAATAAAGCAGGCGAAAATAATTTCGCAAAAATCATTCTGAACCTAACGACAAAATGTTTCATTGACTTTATTATTAAATTATTGTAAACTTGTATAAAATATATTTAGTTGGACTAGGCTAAATTAAATTGCGCATGTTATAATAAGGTTAGGTATATTTTCTAATTTTTTTTTTGGTACAAAATTAATTTTTTCATTAGCATAAATGAAAAACTATACATCTTTAAACGTATAAGAGAAAATTTTAGAAAGGACTTTTAATTTTAAATGAGTTCTTGTTAATTGACTAGTTTTACCTATTCGGCACGACATGTATTAAAAGTGAGTGCGAGGGAGGATTGCAGAGAATCATAGTGAAGCATCATCAGTGTATATATACACCGAGTGGCATCTAATTATATATACACCAACGCATTGATGGTGGTTTCTTCACGAAACAACTATTTCCTTACTCGGGTCTTTAGGAAATGATCTGCTCAGTGATTAAGGAAGCACTTGCGAACTGGCGTTGGTTATTGGTTATTAAATAACCACTGGCGTGCCAGTACTGTGTATCACTTGATTAAGCGACCGCTGGCTTACCAGAGCTGGGATCTTCACCACTATTTAAAAAGAAATACAATTGTGTACTAGGATTGCATCGCTTCCACTAGTTATTGGCTACACCACTTTTGTATTCAAGGCATACACCACTTCACTGCAAATCTGCCTCGCCCCAGCAATAGGTCCAACGGCACCGCAATTTCCTGGCAGTAGTCGTCCACGCCCCGAACCATAGGGTCAGAATAACCAACCGGGCCCTAGTCGTACATCCAACGGTACTCTGATTACCTGAAAGCAATCATCCAGGCCCCAACACTGGGCGGATCGTTGAATAGCTAGGACCCGTGTCAGTACGCATTTGATAGTAAACAACACCGTGAAATAACACATTACCACCATCTCCGGCTGTAACTTCCTCTCCGGTGAGATGGCTGCTGAGACAAATTCGAGAGTAGGAGAATTCTTGACTTCAGTTAAAAATAGCAAAAATTTATCTGTAACTGTAGAATCTAGCTCACACGTACTTCCTCCTCCATCCCCCAGCCCACAAGACCGTAGTAACTCTAACTCTGCTCGAATGAAACTCTTTGAAGCTGTTACAGCTTCTGAACCCATTCCCTGAGGTGTCTTGATGCCGGTCAAGAGCTTTTGATTCACGGAACTGGATTTACCCTCCCCTTCCTTGGATCGAGCTTAACCTCTTCCTCATTCCCCAAATGCTGTTGTGGCCCCAAGGAGTTAAGCGCGCCACCCTGAGTAAAATAAAATATATGATAATTTTTGTCAACCTGAGCTGGGAGACTAGCAAGTCGAAGATAATGTCATTTATTCCATTATGAGTTCATGCTATTAGAAATTGTCACGATGTGCAAAAATCCTGTGTGGTGGATTATGACAAGGAAATGTAGGTTTATCTTGCGGAGAGAGTACTGTTGCAGCATATTGCGGATGTATGATATTTATTAAAATTAGACCATAAAAAGTAGTACTGCACTGCAGTAGTTTTATTGAATATATATATATATATATATATATATATATATATATATATATATATATATATATATATATATATATATATATATATATATATATATATATATATATATATATAGGGAGGAGGTACCACCTCTGGAACTGTGCTGAGGACCCACATCCTCAGAGAAAAGAATAAACTTCAGGGAAAACTCAGCTATATTCTATGTAGACTTTATCTTTCTCAACAAACCCGCCGTATCCCACCAAGGCAGGGTGGCCCAAAAAGAAAAACGAAAGTTTCTGCTTTTAAATTTAGTAATTTATACAGGTGTTACTAGTCCCTTGCTTCCGGCATTTTAGTCGCCTCTTACTACAAGCATGGCTTACTGAGGAATAATTCTGTTCCACTTCCCCATGGAGATGAAATAAACAAGAACTAGTAAGAAAATAGAAGACCCAGAGGGGGTGTGTGTGTGTATGTGTGTATGTATAAAATATATATATATATATATATATATATATATATATATATATATATATATATATATATATATATATGTCGTGCCGAATATGTAAAACTGATCAATTAGCAAGAACTCATTTAAAATTAAGTCCTTTCTGAAATTTTCTTTTATACGTTTAAAGATATATTTTTTTCATTAATGTTAATGTAAAAATTTATAATTTTGCACGAAAAGGAACTTAGAAAACTTACCTAACCTTATTATACGAAGAACAATTTATTTTAGCCTAACCCAACTAAATATATTTTAGATTTGTTTACAATAATTTAATACTAAACAAACACTGTGAAATATATTTTTTTCGTCAGGTTCAGAATGATTTTGGCGAAATTATTGCATACACAAATTTTCACTTGTCCTATATGGCAAGATGAGCGTTGCCATTTAAGCCAAGATCGCAAGTTCTGCCATTTCGGCCGACACACACACACACCACACACACACACACACACACACACACACACACACACACACACACACACAACATATAATATAATTTAATAAAAATATATATATATACTAAATATTTATATATATTTTGCAAAAACTAAGTAGCCTATCAATTTATGTTAAATTTTGGGCATTTATAAAGATAGACGCAACCAGTATGGAAACACTAAAAGCATGTTAAGAAACTGGAGTGGGTGGAATGCAACGAGGCTGTTCCAGAGGTAAAGGATTAAATACAATGAGGCTGAGGATTTCTGGCGAACGGGGACAGAGGAACAGAAAAAAAATACAGGAACTGATTGGGTAGACAGGGACAGATGTTTGTGGGTGAAACATACCGGGGCAGCTGGAGTTGGAACACAAACCGCAGGGATGCAGCAAGTATTCTTCAGTAGGGTGGTCGGGAAATGAAAGCTAAGGCAGGTTTCATCTGTGGTTTTACGAGAAGGTAGGAACATGGACGTGAGGCTATAAGGTGAGTGAATCGGCAAGCGGCAAGGAAGGTGAGAACGGAATGAGAACGCGCTCTCACACATCTATCAGATACTGTTCGACTTTATAATCCTTCAGGGTGTAACAAAGGTATTGTTCCCATGTACAGACACACGACGCCTTAGTTGTATACTGGGCAGGACAAGTTCCAGACGTCCATAGGAGAAGGCCAGCAGTTGTGGAGTGGCACGAGGAGTGTGAACTGTAAGTACGTGTGTGTGTTTTTTTTCCATTTATCAAAGACGCTGATAACACTGGGCCCCCCGTGTGGTGTTTTGTGTGTGTGTGTTGTGTGTGTGGGGTGTGTGTGTGTGTGTGTGTGTGTGTGTGTGTGTGTGTGTGTGTGTGTGTGTGGGCGCGCGCGCGCGCATGTGTGTGTGCATGTGCATGTGCATGTGTGTGTTTTGCTACCTTGTCCAAGGCACTTGTCACTAAGACACTTGCCCTCTGCCTGTCTCTCTCTCTCCCCTCACTCGTCCGTCTCGTTTCCTCTCTCGTTTCTTCGTCCGTCTCGTTTCCTCTCTCGTTTCTCTCTCTCGTCTGTCTCCCCCCTCTTTAATTGGGCACGAAGAGGGAGAAAAGTTTAAAGCAAGCTCTGTGAAGTGGCACGAGAAGTGTGAACTGTAAGTACGTGTGTGTATTTGTTTCCATTTATCTAAGAGACTGATACTAACTGGGCCCAGTTAGTGTGTGTGTGTGTGTGTGTGTGTGTGTGTGTGTGTGTGTGTGTGTGTGTGTGTGTGTGTGTGTGTGTGTGTGTGTGTGTGTGTGTGTGTGTGTTTTACTACCTTGTCCAAGGCACTTGTCACTAAGACACTTGGCCTATCTCTCTCTCTCTCTCGTGTGTCTCCCCCTCATTAATTAGGTATGGAGAGGGAGAAAAGTTTAAAGAAAATTTAGTATATTTACTTAAAATGTCTGGCATCTTGATTTTCACTAGTAAGATAACCTGACATATAATTGTTATACTCGATATGTTCCTCAGTACATGGGCAATCAAACATAATGGTCATAATGCGGTTACATATGCATTTAGGTTGACCATCTCTGTATATGCTAAACAGAAGTAAGCCTGGCAACTACATCTGTGTTTTTTGCATTGCATGTTACTCTGTAAATACGCTTATCTACATTAATTTTATCATAGTTATAAAACTACTCGGGCTTCTAACTGCATTTCCATCATATTCAGATTCATTGTTTACTTCCTTAATAATAATATTTCTGATGCTTGACACAAGCAGACCAATGTTTAGCTCTTGAAAGTGCGATGAATAATTCTGATGATAATGCTGATACTGAGGTGTGACTGCAACCACTAGGCTGGCTGCACAGGCAGGTCAGTGATATTAAGACTGGATGCAGAAGCTGACCTAGTAACTGATCCCACAGTCGAGCACATGACCTAACGGCGTAACATTGCCAATCTCTGCTGAAGGGATGCAGTCACGTAACACATTCTCGTACATTTCCTGAAACATTCAAGAATACACACAGACACGAAGTCACGTGAGTACACGATGTCGCATGAACACAATATAACTCATGAGCACAAGGCCACATTGAACGAGCGACTGGCACCCACGTCATCAAACGTAGGTTCATATATTGACACTGTAATACTTCAGGAAACCAACGGTGTAAATCCGTCTGGGTCACCATAGGGTCACCATGTAACAAAACTTAGAGTTAAGTGACTTTTTTTCCTAGCTACTTCAGTAACACCAATTATCTGGTTTATGGACTGATCAACCAGGCTGTTGGTGTGAGCTGCACTCGATCCAAATGTAGGCACCACAACCTGGCTGAATAAGCTTTTGTGGGGACAGATGTCGAAATTCTAATGGCAGAAATACAAATTAAAGAGAAAAAATTGCCTTTTAAAATACATAAAGAACATTATCTAACAATATGTTAATAAACCAGGCAGTGCTTATCGGAGGATTACGTATTGTATTAGTGTATATTCACGAGGAAGCGCTAAACTGGTAAAGTCATCCAGCGATGGAAGGTAACCAGCGTACCAGAAGGATCCCGGAAAGGTGTGGAGGCGTATCGTCTCCAGGGAAGAAAGTGTGTCGGTGTTCAGCGCTAGTTACTGGACTGGTGACCTGGGTGATGTTTGGGTGACCTCAACCTCCTGGCACGTGACGTGTAACCTTTAAGGATCCAGGGGTGGTTGCAAGGGGGGTGTCAGATCGAATCCGGATATAATATGGGCTATGTATCTATTATGGTTCTGTGGATCGTTGCTCCCGCGACCAGGTCTCATATCAGCCCTCAGCTGAAATATTAAATAAGTGATAAGAGCAATTAAGGAAATACCATTAAAAATAAATGTATACTGAATGCAAATAGAAAGGTTGTAAGACTTTTTTATCATCTTTCATATTTGTGAGACAAGGAAAAGACTAGTAATCTTGCCAGACTGCAACATTTAACAATACTTTGTTTTGTACTCGTATGACAGGATGGTAATACCTCCCTGGATGATTGTCTATCAAGGGTCGTTAGTGCACAGTTTGGTGTAGGTTTGGAACACCGCAGCGTGGTTGAAGAAGTGCAAATACTCCCTTATGGTGAAATGCTGGGAATCTGCAAGAGGTCAAGGTTGGAGCCAGATCAGAGGGCAGGTGTATTTAGAGTTGTCAGCGTTCACATGGCTCGAGTTAATTAAGCGCTGTGCGACTTACGCTAAATATATCATTTACAGATTTCAGGCTTTTTTTTGGGGTGGGTGGGGGCAAAATCGAAGAAAAAAAGCCGACAACCATTTTTGGCAAGTCCTTTCAGATGCTTAGATACTATGACAGCCTAGTCAATCAGGTTAGGTTGTTGACAGTGGGCACACGGCCATCACACTCATGACTCAGGAAATCGTAATAACACGATTACAACTAAACGGGTGGGGTTTGAACCCATGGCAAGTGAGTCCAAAGACTCCAGACCGTGGTTTATCACACTCGTCAAATAAAACAACCTATTCTCGTTTTATTATTATAATTTATGAAGTTTATTAAGCTACAAATAAATTGAACTGAATTTTTAAACTCGTGCACCTTGACGCTGGTGAGGGGCTCTTCGTCTAGGGAATTGGATCTGTGGTCCGGTTTCCTGAATACCTTCCACAACCCCCCCCCCCACAGGCGCTGCAAAATCCTACGAGTTTAGCGCTCCCCTTGATTATAATAAACTCTTGCAGGACAGTACGATTTGAAATAATTATTAAAGCTAGTTTAGTAAATTACAATTTCATATATATATATATATACTGAATAACTGAACCTTATAAATTGTATATCTTAAATGTTTCTCACAATTATATCACATAAATGTTAAACCTAAAACCCAATCTAACTTTATTATTTTTTAAATTCACTACCTAACAGAATACTCCATTCTACTGAATTTACAACAATGCATGCAACCATATGACCTGTCTTTGTAATACTCACTTGTGCTTTATAGTAATCAGTTTACATTAATGTTTTTCACTGATTTCATCATTGCTTAGTTAATCTTAAGTTAATTTTAAGCCAGCCCGTAATGCTATGCATAGTATAAGTGGCTTTGGCATGCTGCTCTTATATATATATATATATATATATATATATATATATATATATATATATATATATATATATATATATATATATATATATTAGGGCAGAGATTTATGGTTTAACTAAACTCTGCTAAGTTTTAGTATTTCATTGTATCTAATTGAGAAAAAAAAGCAACTTAGGGCTCGCTGGCATGTTCCCATGGACCTCCCTCCCTGGTTAAGCGAACGAGGGGTCAACGAGACTTGAATGGGTTGGTAAACAGGATTGTTTAACCCCACTTATAGCTTGGTACAGGTGTTTCTTTCCCGTTTTCTTTAACCCTCAACTTCGCAGTGTAACTTTTTGTATAACATAATTTAGTACATCCTGTGTTCTGCTGCCCTATTCGATATGAATTAGGGGGAACAAAAGCTAGATGTGTTTCCCCGTCATATTTCATTATACATTATAGGTTTTGCGTATGAGGTAATGAAATCAGTCAATCTGAGCTGGGAAACTTTAGTATGGTGATGATGCCAGTGGTAGATTGTTTTGGGGAGTTTCCCATTGCTGTCGCGGCTCTATCTTGTAGGGTAGCCGCACTTTGCGACTGTATCACTGTTAAAAAAAATTCTCAAGGGCTACTAAAAGGCTAAAAAAAAAAAAAAAAAAAAAAGTGGGGATGTGATGAATCCGTAGGGTTCCCTGAGACTGGGCAGTTAGGGTTGAACAAGAGAGGAGTGGGTAGCTCCAATTTCGTGGCTTAAGAGCCTTTGAGCACCAAGTTTACGCTAAACTTAGAGTATTTACTTTATTGCAAGTTTTCTAGTTTTCAGTTGACTAGTGAACTCGGTAAGGCCAAAATAACTTCAAGGGAGGTTCTTTGATGCAAGTGAAGGGCCGTTGTTCCAAGAAATTGGAACTACCGTCTACTTTGGATCAAACCTAATTTTTTCTCATTTCTCAGACTTTGTACGATCCCTGTGGTTTGATACTTACCAACAAATATTATTATAACAAAATAAAGTGATCTTGTCTCGTCTTAGAAGTGATCAAGGTCCAAGGACTTAAACGTTGTCTAATGTTTCCAAGTGTATCTTTACAAACCAATTTGTAGGGTTCATACACAAATAACCCGCACATAAAAGAGAGAAGCTTACGACGACGTTTCGGTCCGACTTGGACCATTGATAAAGTCAATTTGTTATCAATTTGTAGGGTATCAATTACCAAGGTTTATGCAACATTCCTGATTATGAATCACTCCTGACTGCCATTGTAGATGCCTGCCTTTCTCATAACGTTGTCAGATGCTCCAGACTTCAGAACAGTCGTGACTTCTCCTGATCTTTGTCACCCCTTCTCCATACCTCTTCATTTTTCCTTTTTCATTTTTTTTCTGCTTTGTGCCTTGGGCTGTCCTATTGGTTTTTTTCTGACATGATTTTTGTCTCATATTCGTGACCCAGAAGTTCTCCTGTAGTGCTCCTCTGTTCTCTTGTTCATATGCACCACCGCCACTGCTACTACAACAATGTCATTATTTTTCCCATGTTTTCCGCTACTACTATCTTATTTATCGCTGCCACTGCTACCTCTGCCGCCATTAATTACTGTTACGACTACTTATACTGCAGCCTCCGCCTTTTCCTCTCTTTT